TTCTCAACAATACATCTATTTAACAATCGCAACTTCCAAACGACCCCAAGAAAGCAAATTAAATCTAAAGTCACCAAATTATCTGGTAGAAAATGGTAAAAGTTCTCGCATCCAAGTACTTAATTGTAAATTGCAATCTCAGCGTAACTCACAGTCTGATACTCCGATTGACTCCATTATCCCATCCAAAACCCTAACCTAACATTTACTCGATCTAAAATATCAAATTGAAGGCCCTTGGATTGGCTCGCTCAAACATCCTTCAGAGGAGGCTCGCTCGGGCCATGAGTGAATTTGCAATTGCCGACGAATTTGCTCGCCCGCGAAATGTTGCCCTGGTGAGTTTCCGATCTTTCCTCTATAGTGTGGTTCTACGGCTACCATCGCTGCCCCCAACTAACTCTCCAATGCTCTCTCGCTCTCAATTTCCTCCCGTTGTCAGCGACAACGGATTCGTTGATAGAACGATGTTCTTCAACAAAATTGAGAGATGGCTAAAGAATCGCCAGCGTTCAGCAGAACGCCTTGTTTATGCATCACTTTTTGGTACTTCTCTCAGTTCATCAGACTATGCACTCTGTAAATTGCTCGCTCGAACTCCTTCAAACTTAGAATTCTAATTTCTTCATTATATCTTAGAAAGATTTGTTGAGAGTCAAATGCCTAAGAAGGTAGGGGGATCGGGGACCAGTTGGCTGTGCCTAAGAAGGAAGGGGGATTGGGGATCAAATGCCTCAGGACATGGAATGTAGCATGGACAACGCGCCACATCTGGAACCTACTTACTAAAGGGGGGTCCTGGTTCGTAGCTTGGATATATCTTTATAGAATAAAGGAGAGATCTTTCTGGGAGTTAACTGCATGAAGCACTTGTTCCTGGGTTTGGAAGCAGATTCTCAAAGTCAGGGATAAATTGGAAGCTTTCATTAACTGCTGGGGGACTCGGGTATTCTGGGATAACCAAAGGATGCTCAAGTATTCTGTTAAAAAAAGTTTGGGAGACTCTCCAGCCTTCAAGGCAGGCTGTTGCCTGGTTTTAACTAATCTGGTGCAATCATTCAGTACCAAGACATAGCTTTATCAGTTGGCTTATTGTTAAGAACAGGATCACTACATTAACACAACTCAAATCCTGGAGGAGGATTAGCTATGATACTTGTTTACTGTGTTCTGCAGATCAAGAAAACAGAGATCATATTTTCTTCCATTGCTCCTACTCGGCAACTGTGTTGAAATAAAGCTTGCAAATGATTCTAGTATGCTGTCCAAGTTTCCCCAGATTCGAAAATTACCTATCATGGGCTCTACAACAATTTAAGGGGAACAAGCAGGCTGCAAAAGTGGGGAGGCTTGTTAGGAATGTGGCTATCAGTCTGCTATGGCATGAAAGGTGCTCAAGAGTTCATGTAGGAAAAACGAAGAGTAGCAGCGAAATTGTTCATTCAGTTCGTAGATTGATTGAGCTAGCCAGGCTAGGAAATGCAGTACTTGATATTGAATGTAGAAAAGTATTCTTGTAAATATTGTAGTAGTTGATATAGTAGTAGTAGTTTAAAGGTTGGTTCTGGTTTCGCAGCATTTCTGCAGATGTAGACAGGTAAAAATTCAGATGCTGTTCCTTGATTTGGAACGCATGACGACTAATATTTTTTTTTTATATTGCCCATAAAAAAAAAGATTTGTTGAGAGTCTGTTGCTGATTGAAATTCCTTTGGTGGAATTTGTAGATATTTGAGCGTTTAATGAGCTGATCTATCATCAACTACAGAGTGAGGTGTTGGTTCAACCATCCCCATGATCCAGGTGTGGTAAGCTTTGCCAATGGTTGCTTGAGACACAACGGCCTGTTGTTTCTCGTCCAATCAGTTTCTATCTTGCTGTTTACTCAATTTAGGATTGGGCAATGATGATGTTTGGTTGCCTAGCTGAGTTAATACAAAACGTGATCTCTTTCTTAATTCTTTGTAGTTGTCAAGGTGTTTTGGATTTGACATTTGTTTGTGAATTGACTATCTACACAGAGCTGCTATAGCTGGTAGAGGGATTTGCCTGAACAAGTGTGCCACGTAACCCATGTTGGCTCTTCTTCCCAAGTTGGATGGTAATGGAGGAGGTACTAAATTCTTATAGTTCAGTATCTTTAGGAATGAACTGAGGATATTTGGTGCTTCTGTTGGTTATATCCTATCTGTTTCCAGTTTGATGTGTTATAGAAATGATAAGTTCTAATAGTCCCTAAACCTTTGTTGTACTATATGAGGATCTAGAGTTGTAAAATTCTTTTTTCTTGCAAATACCACCATCGGAAGCAGGGAACTGGTAAGTTGCGACTCTATATATAATGGTTACCTTCCAATCTGTACATCTTTACTGTGATTGCGTAATCACTGTTGAGTCAAATACGTTGAATAAGAATCACTTTCACACAGTCTCTCCATGATCTAGCTTGAGGAGCAGTTGCAAGCTATTGGAAGGTGAAACGTAGAGCACTTAAGCTGAACATTGTTCTTTTAATTTGAAGAAGTGAGGAGTATTGCCATATGCTTGATAGGTCGAACCAGACTGCTTTTCGAAAAGCTTTCTCAATAGAGTCAACTATATTTTATACATGTGAGCTTCCCTTCCACTTTGGTAGTGCTACTTATTCTCTAACGAGAAGCTAGAATGGTTTCCTATGAATCGATAACATGAAGTTCCAATTGTAATTAGTAGGCTGCATAAACTAATAATTTTGGGTTACTATAGAGGAATGCCAAAAACTAAGGCTGCCTGTTTTTTGATAACTGACGAACTGAAAATTTGTAGAATCTAGTGTTCATGTCTTGGATTAATAATCATGTTATGTGTCTTTCTTATAAAATTAGTTGTACTGTAGCTAGATTGGTCTTCAAATATCTTGTAAAGCTCCATGCGTTGTCAGAGGATGGCTAATGATGGTGAGTTTACGTCTGCCGTAGTGTGGTTCACATTCATTTGCCTAGTTTAGTCTTAAGCGCTCCTGTTTGATTAGCAGGGATGAATTTCACATACAAGCTCAGAGGTTATAGGGGGGGAGACATGTTGGTCATGATTGTGAGTTGTGACTAGTCCACCACTTGGATACTACCTAGAACAAGCGACTTCTCATGGATTGTTCGTCAAGAAGCCTCTTGAAATAAGGCTCAAAGGGTATGGGCTTTGTCATATACTCTTCTTCTCAGGCACATTACTTGTACATATTTTTTAATTATACTTGTTCAGATTATTCACTTGACATTTTTTGTGTAGTGAATCATCACTCTTGTATCCTTCAAAATTTCCCTATCTATTTATACCGTAGTGATGCAATAAGAAAGAGTCTAGTCAATGATAGAGTATTAGTAGCTGAAATATTTAACAGCTATGGAGAATGTTTCTTCAGAGTGTAAGGATCACTTGTTCCATCTATAAAAGCGGTTAAAAATAGTTGTAGTTATATCCTGTTCGGGGGTTTATTCCCTGAATGTTGATTGCATATAAGATAACAAAAATCGATTGCATATTTTCCTATTGTCCCCATACTAAAGATTCATATTGAATAACTTGTGTCTTCCATCAGGTTGTCCCCATTCCCTTTCGAAGTTGTGTTTGGTTACTTGGAGTTAAATGAAGCGATGGGAATCCAGAACTGTTGAACTGGGTTTGTTTCTGGTTATGTTGCGCATCCTTAACATATCTGATTATGTTGGTTAGGTTGGTCTCAGTTTTCTCCATTGGTTATTAGTTTTTGAAATTAGACGATTTTAATGGCTTAATGCTTAAGTTAGAAGCATCCTTAACATAAAGTTGTTTACCTGATATTCTAAATGATTCTCAGGTGACCATTTGACAAATACATGGTCTCGGTTTGCTGCATTCCTTTTTTAGCTGGTTGCATTCGAGAAAAAACGTGATCTTCAATATATGCTCTAATATCCAACCGCTATATCTCATGCTTATATATATGTGATGATAGATATTATCATCTTTCACATGTTGGTTCTTTCTCGATGTTCATTAAAGTCTGGACTAGTCCTCAGTTCAAATGGTATTAGCCTAATAATGTTTAAATTACCAGGGCAATGACAAGTACTTGCTAAGGCTGCCAAGAAGATGCACAAGAAGGTGGAAAGGTTTCCCAGGCATAGGAGGTAAGATTTTTGAAAAGAGACAGAGTCGCATGTTGATAAACTACCAATGCAATGACAAGTATTTGCACAAGAAGGTTGAGAGATTTTCCAGGCAGAGGAGGTAGACTTTTGAAAAGAGGCAGAGTCACTAGTTCGGGTCTTGGAGTTAATCATAATGTAAATGAATTATCTGTCGGTTACCAGAAAATGTTAGTTATTTTGCCATCAATAAGTTGGTTGTATTTTACAATTTCTAGAACCAAAATTCTAGGTTCATTTAGGTTATTTAACTACCATGATATATCGATTAGAAAAAAAAAAAAATTGTGACCATTTTAATTCTTAGTTAAAATTGATTGGCTGTGATCTGTGAATGAAATAGATAGTTTATGTATTGAACATTTAATAACCATTAAAAATTGGTTACATTGTGTTTCTAGGAACCAAAATGGTCACATTTGGAACACATGATTACCATAAATTTTGGTTGTGTTTAAGGCTCCGTAACCAATATTTGTGGTTACTTTAAAATGATGAATTTATTGTAGTCTGATATTCATGATAAAATTTATTGGTTTCAAAATTTTGATTTTATGACATTATCAATTGGTTGGTAAAAGGCAGATAAATAGTTGCTTTTTGGTATTTGTGACCAATAACATACTATACCGTGTCTATTTAGCATATGTTATATGACCAATTATCTTGGTCTAAAATTTTTTATTGTGTGATCGCCAAATCATCTCCTACTTTGAGTTTTGACCGAATTGAAAATTTGGTCCGGATATAATTTTCTTAACGCGGCTAATATGACCAAAGGTGCAGCCAAAAGATTTTGGTAAGGAAATAGTATTCTGAACCAAAATTTGATATTCTATGACCAATGTCCGCAGTCACAAAAAGCTATTAATTAATGTTGAAGTGCATATTTACATACCACAGCATGAGGCTGTAGTTGACGAAGTTCGAGATGTGTATAAGAAACCGCACGTAATAGTTTTCCGTATTCTTGTCGCTTGACTTCTTTTTCTTAATCGTCCATATTGCTAAGCTGTGGTAAAAAAAAAAAAAAAAAAGAATGATTAGTGTGCAATATACATTTTATTAATGTAGTTCAGTCTTAACTACTTACAAAGTGTCATAAATTATCCCCAGGGCCGTGAGTGCCACTCCCATATAGTACGTGGCGAAGAGGGCATTGACAATTGCATCATGATCAAACATCGTGATAATTAACCTGCTTCCTGTAATTAGCGAGCCAGAAAATTTTCACTTAAGCACATAATAATTCATTAAAGCGTGAAGTTAGGGGAAAATAGAAGCACACTCTAATTAAATTGCTGAGCTAAGTATACTGTAAAGAGCTCCCTTTACTACCCTAATACTGTACAAGCTGACATACTTGGCAATAAATAAAGAGTTATACCCTTGTATTTTTATCAATCAAATCAATCCTACCCTTGTACTATTAAATGAGGGTTGATATTTGCCGCCGACAAAGTTTGCAAAAAAGTCAGTTTTGCCCTTTTTATTTTTCTAACAAATTATTTACCAAAACATACTCCCAATCAGCACAAAAAGGCGAAAGTTTTTTGTGCTAAAAGAAATTTACGGCCAAAAAAAGAGTTTCCGGCAACCAGAGGGATGGTCTGACGGTGGAAAGCCTCTGAAGACGAGGCCGAAGATCGGACGCCTGCACTTGGTCCGACGCCGGAGATCGGGCGCCTGCACCTGGGCCGACGCCGTCACTGGTCCGAATGTCGACATTAGCTCTGGGATCTCCGTCCGAACGCCGATGTCGGACATCGTCATCGCCGACGTCGGACCCCGTCCGATCGCCGACGTCGGACCGCGTCCGATCGCCGACTTCGGACCCCGTCCGATCGCCGACGTCGGACCCCGTCCGATCGCCGACTTCGGGCCCCGTCCGATCGCCGACGTCGGACCGCGTCCGATCGCCGACGTCGGACCGCGTCTGAACTCCGATGTTGGACAACTCATCTCATTGGGACGACGAGGAGACGATGATGTCGGGAAAGTGGATGAAGATTGCGGAGGAATCGTCATCGGGATTATGCCGAAAGGGAAGGTGAATCATCGCCGTGATGTTGCGAGATTTGGGGGAAAAAAATATTAGGGGAAATACAAGAATAATCTTTTTCACAGAACTATTTTGAACGTTGGAATACAATTAAGGAGTAATTAAGGAGATAGAAGGTAATTAAGGAGATAGAAGGTAATATTTCATAAAAGAAAACACACGGGATTTAAGGAGATTGAAATACAATTAACAATAAATGGGGTAATTAAGGAAATAGAAGGTAATATTCCATAAAAGAAAACAGACGGGAATTAAGGAAACACAATTAACAATAAATGCCTCAATTAAGCACCGGCGACAAGATTTTCCAGCGACCCTCTAAAACTCCGGTGGGCTCCAAGAGATGCATCAGACGTGAGGTGTTGTTGTTGTAATTAATTTAAAAAGTTACAATTATCTAGGATTGAATCTAATAAAAGGGCAAAAATGTCATTTTATTTAAAAGTGTGGGCGGCAAATAGTAAATACTCGGGCGGCAAATAGCAGTTCATTATTAAATAATAATACCAGTATACCACTCAAGTCAAACCTGCCCTCTTCTGTTTGTTTTTCCATCCCAGAACCGTCAAATCCGGTTCAACCAAACTCGGATCATTTTTGGTGTCATGGAAATGAGCGCTAAAAGACTTGGTTACCCCTTTAGTTCTAACTCATCGTCCCCCAATTCTCCATCTTTCAAATAATCCCCATTTTTACGAGAACCTCTATCACTACAAAAGTATTTTTCTATTCAAATTGTCTTATTCTCCAGGTGAAACCATTAAAGCATTGTTTTGCTGCTGGTGGATGCTCTTAATTAATTACCTTGTATTTTTAGAAGTGGGTGTTCGAAATATATATTAATTGGAGGATTTTCTGGCGACAAAGAGTTATAATTAACTAAGGATTAATTAACAAAGTCTTTTAGCTCTCATTACCATGACATCATAATGACGCGAAATTAGGTTGAACCGGATGTGATGGTTATGGGACGGAGTGGTGTCTAATAAGTAATAGTAGAAGGTTAGGATTGACGTGATTCAAAATAGAGAGACATAACATACATATAACTCATAAATAAGATAAATTATGTTAGGGGCAAGTACTTACACCAAAACTAAACTTAATTAAGACATAAAACGTAACTTATTGTGAAACTTGCAGGTGGATGTAATTGCAAGTTCATAAGAGCATATATATACATATCAACGGATTCTAAAATGTGGATAATAAGGACGAAGAAGCCTCGCTCGCTCACGGGAAGAAAAAATGAATCGATGGGTTGAGAGAACGTACGGGTCGGCGAGAAGGGTCGTCAGTCAAAGGGGTTTGTCTGCCCGGCCGGTCAGTATACCACTTTCCTTGTTGTCTGCCGTCGCCGTTTGTTCGGCTGGCCGGCAACTCTTCTTCTTTCCTCTCTCTCTGGGCTCTGGCTACTTGCTTTGTTTTTCGCTCCTTTTTCGCTTCTCTGCTTCTGGTAGGAGGAGAGATGTGAAGTGAAGAGAGGGAAATGCAGTTTGTTTCAATTAAGATGTAGCTGTGGCGTGGTGGAACGAGAAACTATGAGTGTAGTATTGCAGAGTTGCAGGTGGTGGTGGTAATGATGATACACTAGCTAGCCTTGTCATATTGGGTTTGTTTGTATGAATGGAAATGGTCATAGGTCATAGCAGAGAGAGTATAATTACGAGCTTGGAGGAGGGCGTCTTGTTTCCAAGTTTGGACGTGTAAACCTTAATTGCATGCATGCCATTTTGGGAGCCAGATAGCTGGACATTTATATATTATGCATAATTTAATAATAAATGGATTGGAAAGTCATCATTTCAGAGTCGCATTATTATTATTATTATTATTATTATTATTTGCAAAAAAGTAATGGCCCGGGAAAGAACTAAGAAGATTGTCAAATGCCAATGCAAGCTAAGTTCAAATTTTCATGACTTAACCATCTGTTGTCCAATTTGGTTAGTGGTTAGTTTGATGATGAACCACTAACCATAACAACCTCCGCTTGTGTTATTTTGAACTACTATTAAACCATATTTTGTGAACGATTGGAACATAGGCTAAATGGATGCTCTATTGGGCTATTTTCAGTTTTTGCTTGGATGATTTGTTGTTCGGCCATGGTTGTCATGTCGGTGGCATATTAGCTAGTTGAATCTGGTTAAATTGGTGTCGGTCAGGAGACCGGCGTGAACAACACTGGTATGACGGGCATGATAGATTTACGACCTCTAAGTAAAGGGACGTCGTTTTAGTCACTACGGGAAAAGAGTGTTTTGCCAACACTATGTTTGCAACACTAATTCAAGGTCACAACACTAATTCAAGGTGTTGCTGAAAAACTAATTCAAGGTATTGCTGAAAATTAACAATGACAACACTTTGTTTAAATGTTACTTAAAATATATTTTATGCAACATAAATAGATAATTACTTGAATTATGTCGCATTTACTTGAGCATACACGACATTTATATTCCATATTATATCATGTTGCCTATTTATGCATTTTAGGCAACGTTGTAACAAATAATGTTAGCAAAAGTTAGACATTTGATAATTAAATGACAGATCACATGACCGAGACAAGATATGGTGGTACTACAATACTCATTACTCCCTACTTCCATTTAATGCACAAGATGCATTGATCTCCTCCCCTTCTCAATTTTTTTAAAGACTAGCTTGCCTTTTTGCCCTTTCTCTTCATTAATTTTGTACTCAATTAAATGAAAAAGTTATCGAAACGAAATGTTCATATTGACCAGAGGAAGTCTTAGCTAACAAAAAAAGTACTAACCTTCTAGCAAGTCCATACTCATTTTCCTAACAGTTTAATATCAGCCGTTTCTTCTCTTTCCACAAAGTTAATATATTTTTTATACTATTTTTCAGAGCAAATATTTGAAAATAAAATATCTTTTAGGTTATTGTATTCATAATATCATTACACAAGCAATTAATAAAACTAACCATTTAAGCTTAGTATAAGAAAAAATATATTTATTACTTTTTAATTAATTATTAAAATGACATTAACCTTCTAAAAAACAAAATATTTTGACTCGTGCAATTCCCTGATGAATTTAGGAACATGTTACATTTTTTTTAAAATGTAGGCTTCCTTCTCTATAAAATACTTAAGAGTCATAAGTCATGCTCTTTCATTTTATATGAACAAAATCCACTTTTTGCCACTATAAAAAAAATCTTATCTTGATATTCATAGAAAGTTACTTTAATTACCACCTTCCACATACAAATTCAAATCTTCTACGGTTAAAAATTACTTTAATTATTTCTTTAATAATAACTTGTATATGTGAATTAATTATTATAACTTTACTTATTACTTACTAGAATTTAGAAGGTGTTGTACTTCTTTATCCAAAATATTTTAAACTTAATAGTAATTGATTGGATCGACGGATTACTGTAGAGACATACTAGACCGAAAAGAATCGGTTGTGGCTTCCATTGGGCGCTGGTGTTTGTGCCAGACCGAAAAGAATCATTACCAACGACGAAATTTTGGGTTCATACGGCGACGATCTCTGGTGTGAGTGGCTCTGACTAAAAGGGCTAGGTGAAAAGGTAAGCTAGCGATTCCATAGCGTAGAGGCAACGTACACGATGAACCTCTCACAATCATCTTCCTCCATCTCTCCTTTTTTCTGATAACTTGTTGTTCATGATATTAATACATGATATATGCATGGTAGCAATCATGTGCCATCTCTCATTGAATGGGAACTAGAAGACAACCGCACTTCGTAGCGCGGCTAGAGTCCCATATGGGAAAAAGAATAGCCCGTAGCTTATAAGGATTAAAATATCGTACTAGAGGTTGTACTGAAAAATCAGCAGTATGACATTTTATATTAAAACTGTTGTTTAATTGTGGTTCAACCTTTTCATACTGCTAAATACCGTCTACCGATTTAGCCTCCGATAAAAAGTTTTCTGATTCAACTGGCGATACGATATGGTATTTCAATCCTTGGGAATTAGTATAAAATTAAAGAGCTATAGATACAGAGCGGATAGGGTACAAAACTTCAGCATGTAAAACCCTGCAAAACCAGGTTGTATCATCGCATCACGATTCACGACATGGTACTACAATGATACGCCGTTGATAATCGTATCACCAAGTCGTGATACGATGATACGATTAGAGTTTTGCAGACAGAATTTTTACCGGAACCCAAGCCTTGTACATAAATTCACGATAATATATGACAATTAGTCAATAACTATATTGTTTCCTTTTCCTCCCTAGTACATATAAATTTTACTTTATCTCGTTATATTCTCCAAGCCATAGATTCTTTATCAGCCTGTCTATCTCTTTATCAAGATTGTCAACCCGTGTGTTGACCCACGAGTTGGCCCGACTCGTTGAGGAAAGTGGGCACCATACACTCACTGGGTCGACCCGCATCAATGTTTCTGGGTTGGAGGTCACACGACATCATTTTTCTCTTTGGTTTTTGAGTTGCGCCACTTCTCCAATTTTTCTCTTCACCTAACTCTACTTTTCAAATTTTAAATTCAACATTTGAATTTGAATATTAGTATTATATGTGAGTCACAATAACAAAAGCTTATCAACCCAAACAATAAGAGAAACTTATCGGATTTAACAGGAAAAAAGAGAAACTTATCAACCCAAACAAATTGAATTAGTGAAATGACCATAACAAAACAATTCGTGCGTTGACCCGCGAGTTGACCAGACTCGGTGAGGAAAGCAGGCGCCACACATCCACCGGGTCGACTTGCATCAAGGTTCCTGGGTTGGAGGTTACACGACATTATTTTTTCTTTGATTTTTGAATTGTGCCACTTTTCCAATTTTTCACTTCTCCTAACCCTACTTTAAAATTTGGTTGGAGGTTACACGACATTATTTTTTCTTTGATTTTTGAATTGTGCCACTTTTCTAATTTTTCTCTTCACCTAACCCTACTTTAAAACTTTAAATTGAACATTTGAATTTGAATATTAGTTTTATATGTGAGACCCAATAAAAAAAGCTTATCAACCCAAGCAATAAG